CCATGTAATTGTAACCCCTCTGTACAGTATTTTCACAATAAGAAAAAGAAAAAAAATGTGATATATATATATATATATATATATATACACACACACACACACACAATGGAATTCTATACTTCCATTAGAAAGAATGGCATTGCCCCATTTGTAAGGAAATGGAAAGACTTGGAAAATAATTATATTAACCAAAGCAAGCAAGACCCAAAGAAACACAGGTTGCATGGTTTTCCTCATTTGTAATAACTAGAATATGTCTAGGATATTCTTAGCAGAGGATCACAATAACTCAATAGCTAGTTGCATAGGACCATATAAAATGAAGCTTATCAAACTCCAAGAAATGGAAACAAGAGGATTTTATAATGTACTGTTGGAAGTTATTTCTTTTTTCTTTCTTTTTCTTTGGTTTATGCCTTGTTGTCACTGTTTTTGGTTTCTGTACCCTTTGTCTTCTATATAAGTTTATCTGATTTGCAGAAGGAAGGGGGATCACAAAAACTGCAGGACAAAGAGTGAACTAATATGTAACAGTGATATTCACTAGACACTATGTTGGAAATGAACTTTAAACCTGCAGGGGAGGGGAATTGAGGGAAGAAGCAGGAAAAAAAGAAAGAGTGTTAACACTGTTCAAAAGAAACATATTCGTTATTTTATGTAACTGTAACTCCTCTACACATCAGCTTTACAATAAAAAAAAAAAAAAGATGTTACAGTGACATCTGCTGACCACAAGAGGGAAAGAGGAAACCAGCAGACAACAATTACTACTTGAAACTATGAGGTAAGGAAAGTGGGTTTTTTTGGGGGGCGGTCCGGTCCTCGGGCCTCAACTCTGGACCTGAGAGCTGTCCCTCAACTCTTCAGCTTAAGGCTAGCGTTCTACCACTTAAGCCACAGCACCATTTCTGGCTTTTTTCTTTTTTTTGCTTATATGGCGCTCAGGAATCAAACCCAGGGCCTCATGCATGCAAGGCAAGTGCTCTACCACTGTGCCACCTTCCCAGACCCAGAAAGTGGGTTTTTATAAGTGAAGTTCTGGTGTACTTTTGGGAGTTGTTGGGACATCCTTTGAAAGACACCTATAGGAATGTCCAACGGCTGATAATGTTTCTAGGTCCTTTCAGTTGGCACCTTATTCGGTGGGATCCATTCAAATTGCACATCATTTGAGCATGAAAAAATTAACATAAAACCATTATAAAATGTAAAATAAATATTTAAGTGGACAAGGACGGGAGGAGGAAACAGGGGGAGGGGGGACGGAGAAGGTAACATTGCCCAAAAAGAAATGTACTCCTTAACTGACTTATGAAATGGTAAAGCCTTTGTATAACACCTTAACAATAAAATTATATTAAAAATATTTTAAATGATGCTCACCTTATTTGCTTTGATCATATTCAAAAGCTATACTTAAATTATCCATCCTCACTATTGAATAGAAGCCCTCAATTAAATGTATGTACAAATGAACTTGTGTGTGTCTGTGCTGGTTCTAGGGCTTAAACTCAGGTCCTTGGTGTAGTCCCTGAGTTTTTTATGCTCAAGCTAGAATTCTACTACTTTAGCCACTTTTTGGAAATTAATTGGAGATAAAAGTCTCATGGACTTTCCTGCCTGGGCTGGCTTCAAATGCCAATCCTTAGATTTCAGCCTCCTGAGTAGGCATAAGCTATCAGCACACAGCTGGACTTTTTAAAACATTATTTTGAATGACCATGTTTAAAACATGCAATAGAAAACTTTTATCATTTCTGGAAATATGCTCTCTTTATGAGATTATGACTGTAAAATAACTACATATAAAAACAAAGTCACAAACACTGAGACCTAAAATGTAGAGTATAAAAATTATTTTTTAAGTTTGTGGCTAGGCATATTTTCTTCTTTTTTTTTTTTTTGGTCAGTTGTGGGGCTTGATCTCTCGGGGCCTAGGTGCTGTCCCCGAGCTCTTTTGGTCAAGGCTAGCGCTCTACCACTTTGAGCCACAGCACCAGTTTTCTGGTGGCTAACTGGAGATAAGAATCTCATGGACTTTCCTGCTTGGGATGGCTTTGAACCATGATCCTCTGATCTCAACCTCTTGAGTAGCTAGGATTACAGGTGTGAGACACCACCTCACTGGGTAGCCAGACTTAGTTTCAAAAGATAGCTCATGCATGTGAATAGAATAAAAGCTTATCTAAAATATCAAGCCAGGTGTGTCAATTAAGGCTAGTCTCCATTACATAGCCAGATTATGTCTCAAAAAATTAACTGAATAAATCAAAAGTATAGAGAAAAGCACTTACTCCTTTTTTCCTTTTTCTTAAATTTTCCTTTTTTCTTTCCATGATCTTTCTCATCATCAGACACTATATCAGGAGGCTCATGGAGGATGTCATGGGGAGGTGAGGGCTCACTGGTGCGGTACAATCCAGGAAACTTTGTAGGGCTGATCTCTTCAGAGCTGGGGGTCCGGGTTAGCCCACTGCCATGCTCAGCTCTGCGGTGCTCACTGGGGCTGCTGGTGGGGGGCAGGAAGCACTCAGTCATGCTGACACCCTGACAAGAAAGGGATATGGTTCTTCTTCGTTACCTATCCATTACACCTGTACAGAAAGAATGTCAGCAGTTATCACACAATAGTCAAGGCAGAAAATCACCACACACACATTCAGAACAACAATTACTCTTGCTTTAATACACCAAAATTAGCTTTTTCTATACCCACGCCCTTTAAAAACAACTTTTCATTTTATTAACTCAAATTTAGTTCCAGGCATCATATAGTTTAGATTTTAGTTGAAAGCATTGGGATCTCAGTATTTAAAAACTATACCAAATGAAATTAAGAGTTAAAGTTCTTGATATAGAATTAAAAAAATCCTGCCAAGCACAATCTCAGCCCTATGTAGACTAAAGCAGAAGGACTACCAGTTAAGGCCAATCTTGGCTTCACAGTGTAATCTTGACTCAAAAAAAAAAAAAAAAGGAACAAAAGAACAGACAGAGCTCCTTTTAAAAAGAACCCTAGGGATTGGGTGAAGGGGGTAACACTGATCAAGACTCACTGTATTCATAAACTGCTTTGTTAAATGGGTCCTCCTTTGTACAACTACTTAAAGATAACAAAAAAATTAAAATTAAAAAAAAAACAACAAAACTAGTTGGCACAGAAAAATCTGGGCAGGAAAGTCTGTGAGACAGTTCTCTTCAATTAACCCCCAAAAGGCCAGAAGTGGAGATGTGGCTCAAGTGGCAGAGCACTGACCTTGAATACAAAAGCTCAGGCACAGCATTGAGGCCCTGAGTTCAAGCCCCAGAACCAGCACAAACAACAACAGTCATGAAAACAGAAGCTCAGCCCCAGGAGTTACCTGAAGGGATAACAACTCTGTTTCAATGTTTTTATCACCTAGAGAAAAGGGATGCTAAAACTTTGATTCTCCTAAAAAATATAAACATAAAAAGTAGGTCAGAGACAAAAAAAAAAATCCTTTGAACAAAGCTACAGAAACCTTTCAGAGAAACTCACCTAAACAAAATGCTTCATGTGAGAGCTGCAACTTAAATTGCATAAATCTTTTAAAATTACAATTATTCTTAAAAATTTGCAAACTTAAGTCTGTTGAACTGTATAGTATTAATACATTAACTAAGTTATTTTCTAAACAGTACAGAGTATCATTATAGCTAAAACAATTTTAAGTGAGATCATTTTTTCAATTTTATCAATTTTATCAATTGTGTAAAGTTATCCTAAGTAACAAAATTATCTGCCCTTTCTCAACAAATCTTAAGTATCAAATCTACTTGCTGAAAACGTGTATGAACCAATTAAGTGGAAAACCTTCTTAATTTTGTTATATACTGTAAATGAGTATGACTTACCTCATAAAATCAATTTTTTTTTATAAAATAAACTCCTAAACAAAAATGGATGATGTACCAAGGCAGTGAAATTACCAGAATATAAAGATTAGAACAGATACTTAGGGCTTTTCATTCTATTCCAGCACAAAACCATGCTTAGGAAGAAATCTTTTTATTGTACTATATTGTACTATACTGAGCCCTGGATTCAGGGCCTTAGATCTTATTTAACTGTTTTTCTTACAGCTGATGCTCTATCACTTGAACTATGCTTTACGTTAATTGGTTAACTGGAGATAAGAATCTCTCATATTTATCTGACTACGCTGGCTTTGAGCCACAATCCTCAGATTTCAGGCTCCTGAGCAGCTAGCATTATAGGTATAAGCAACAGGGACCTGGTCTTTTCACTTTGAGCAAAAACTCTCAGGAACAACTCCCAAACCCTTAGTTCAAGTCTGCGTATGGGCACACAAAACAAAACAAAACACACACACACACAAGTGAAGTATACAACTTTGAGCAAAAACTCTCAGGAACAACTCCCAAACCCTTAGTTCAAGTCTGCGTATGGGCACACAAAACAAAACAAAATACACACACACACACACACACACACAAGTGAAGTATACATCTCTAGTACCTGAAACTCTGTAGATGCCTTCACACTTCATGCCATATTTCTCCATGTAATCCACACATTCACGAAAGACAGCTGGCAGTCGAACACCATCATACATCATGGTCCTCTCTACAGCATCAACCAAAGGAACTCCAAAAATGGGTTTGAAACTTGGAACATCAATCTGAGGCACCTCTGGCTCCTGAATTGGCTTCTTCTTTTTCTTCTTCTCCTTCCACTGTTTAACAACATCAGCTGCTGTCAAATCTTTTGACTTCTTTTCTTTATGTTTTTCTTCTTTATGCTTTTCTTCTTTGGGTTTCTCTTTTATTTTGAAATCTTTCTCCTTCTTTTTAGAGAAGCTGGGCTTCTTAAACACATGGATTCCCTTGGACCTTTTCATCTTGGAAGGGCTTTCAGCTTCATCTCCCGAGCTATCTTCTTGGAAGGCAGCATAGCCTTCAGCTATCAAAGAAATATAAGGAGTATAAGTTACAGGTTTGTTTAATTTCAAACTGTCCATATACTAGGAAGAAGACAAGACAGTAAGTATCATCTGGCACTAGCTAGCTTTTCATTTTACCAACAGCTCCTCTTAGGTACTTTCAACAAATGACAAACTAAATGACGTTCTCCTCAGCTAAAGATGTTGCACTGACCTAACAAGCCCACTCCTGGGCTTTACCCAACTGACCACAAACAAGACCACACTAAACCTACCAGCATAACCATATTCATTGCAGTATTATTTACCATAGCTAAGATATGGAACCAACCCAGATGCCTCTCAGTAGATGAATGGGTCAATAAAATGTGATATATATACACAATGGAATTCTATGCCTCCACCAGAAAGAATGACATTGCCCCATTTGTTAGGAAATGGAAAGACTTGGAAAAAATTATATTAAGTGAAGTAAGCCAGGCCCAAAGAAACATAGGTCCCA